AAAGTGAACTATCTTAATTAAGATTCAATTCAAATGTTTTGTACATTTTAAAGTAAATTTCTTCCTTTTTTTAATAGTCGATAGTATTAAAAGTTAAACATATATGTCTAAAATTGGCGAACCTTGTTGAAACCATTGTGTCGCTTAGAAGAGTCAAGCTGTTCCAGTTTAGTAAATAAGTCGTCTAACAGCGACGAATTCTCCTCCATCCAATCAGTAATTACTTCAATAAAAGCATCATCTATAGAAATCGAATTGGAGCCTGCATCATCACGTTCTTGAAATCTTTTTGCAACAAGTGCTCCTAATAATTCGCGAGCAGTGGATCGTCTTTTCATGGTATTGTCCATGGCATCATCATCATTATCGTTTTTGAAATTATTTTCTCGAGCCATTGAATTTGTAACAATAAATGCCAAAAGAATGGTTAAAACTATGTATTGATTCATGATGGTGATATCTTGCTTTTGATATTTGTTGTTGAAATAACGAATATAACGGTTAGAAGCGAAATGTAATAGTATCTTTTTATTTTTTGTTCTTTTATACGTTAGTGAAGAGCAAAAGAAATATTAATTTTTTATCTTTTACTTCGAAAGAAATTATCAAACCGTGTCTACTGCATGAATAGTTTTCTAATTGCTTCTTTCGATATAATTAATCACAAGAGACAAGGTATTGGTATCCTTCAAAATGTACATAGTCTTCATGAATATGTCATTTCACTTGTACATAATTTAGTAATTAATTTGAAAATAGTAATCACCACCTACATAAAAAAGAATGTTTGTCTGCCCACGTGAAAGTTTATAGAATCTAAAGGCAATTAGATTTCTTTTTTTAGGAACAATATCATCTTGGTCTCGTAGATTTATTTTGTGTCACCATTAATTTTCTTTCAAATGAAAATTATCTTTATCTTTAGGTTTTTTCTTATGAAAGTAAAACTAAATTCTGAATTGTAATGTAGATTAATAAGTGAGATTTATTTATTATACGGATCGGAGGTATCAATAGGTTGAACTGAATCGAAGAAAGCTGACTTATGTTTTTTTTTTAAATGGCTTATCCATATGCCACTCATCTAATTGCATTCGTTGAATTTGTAATACATAAATGAGCGAACATATTTCAAATACGAGTAATTGATGTATCAACAAATATTCTGTAATAAATATATTTGACAACTTGCAAAAACTTCAATTCTCTCGAATTCACCAACATTTTTTAATTTTTTTTTAATTGGAAAACAAAAAAATTTCTAATCTAAAAGTGTATTTGTTTTTTTCATTTTTAATAATATTATATATCGATGGTTGTTGTATCAGAAGAAATTTGATCCGTTTAAATGTTTACTCCTGTATGCAATGATGAATCCGCATCAGTAGTTGAAGAAAAAGAGTTAATACGAGTTTGCGATTGAAAAGGGTCAGTAGGAATAAAATTAGAATTAGAAAAAGTAATTAAGGTGACGAAAAGTTCATGTTTTTCTTTAAGTTTCTTTTGTATATTTACTGTTAATTACAGAAATGTTTTAGCTAATAGAAGAATGACATGAGATTTTCAAAAGAAAAAAGAAATTTTAGTGGAAATATGCAACATCTTTTGACAATTGTACATTTTATTTAAGATTTGATCGATGATGGATGTCCATCACAATATCAAATTTGAACAAAACCATATACTTGTATAGCATGAAAGATGAGATCTGATATTAGAAAACAATAATTTTCTAATACACAGGTAACCTTATTCAATTAGATGTCATGAAGAACAAATTAATTTACAGAGAAATATTCGACATGTTATAGAAAATAATCAAAAAAAAAATCAGTTTCTGCTTTCTTTTGAAACACGTTTCTATAATCGAATTAACAAGATATAAACAAATTATTGTATTTTAGTCTATCGAATTTTGCATCTACAAAAATCACCTATATTTCCTTTTGCTTAGATGTGCATTAATAAATTAAATGTTTTAGAGCAGATCGAAATCAATCGTAAGGTTATTAATGAAAAGCTTTTTTACATCGAATATAATCGTAGCTATTGTAGGCAGGAAACTGCTGATCGGGGTTCAAAGATTAATATATTGTTAGGTTCAGACGTTAAGCGTTTCTTTAGTGTTCGAGTCAGATCTTCGTAAACGTGAACTAACAACTCCCTATCAGTAAGTATCGATCAGATTCAATACATGCAACTATAATTTTCTGTTTAATTTGTTCTGGAATAGCTGGTTCATTTTTCTGAAGATGCATAAAACTAATTGACACTTATTTGAGCGTTTGAAACTGTCGTTTTTGTTTTTATTTTAACAACTACAAGTATGCTTAGATAAAAAATTCTTACCAAAATATAATTTAGAAATAAATAAATCTTCACAGTGATTGTATGGAACATATTCTTGCTTGATATTGTTCCTATAAATACAATTAATTAGAGAAAGTCTCTGATTGTATTTCTGAGCTTCCCTATAAAAATTACTTAAATAGTTAAATATTTTCTTCATTTATTTTTAACTATTTATTTAGTATAGTTTATCAAATAGAATAATAAACAATTCTGTTCGTCTTTGATCACCAGTTAGTTTTAACGTCGTAATAGAATACACTCCATCGTTTTGTATCACAATCGTCGATCTGACAAGATACTGTAGTTATTTTATTTTCTAGCATCGAACAAACATTTGAATGTTTTTTTATTGAACATATATCCGCCATCGACCAAAACTTGACAACAGTTTTTGTTTCTATGGTCCAAATATCATCATTTGTTTCTGTTTGATTAGCAGAAAGAATAAGAAAATTCAATGAAGCTAATGTATCATTAATACTATTTGACAGCAAGTACATGTTCCAAATACCAATCATACATTCTGAAGTAATCTCCGGAAACGGAATATCAATCATAGGCATTTCATCAGATTGTGTAATAGATATTCGTGTAATGACGTTACCTAAAGTAAAGAATAATATTTTATAGATCTATACTAGTTTCTCTTGTGCTTGCTTGTTGTTGTTTATTTTTATAGGAAACTTTTTGAAATAGATTTTTTTCATAACAAACAGAAAGAATGCTGATGTACTTATGATTAGATATTTTGAAAAAGGTCAATTTTGTTTTCAATTGATCTGCTCATTAAACTGTATGATAATATTGAATATGATTTCTTTTTACTTATACTTAAATTATTTGAAAGATTAACAATGTAATATATTACCAGTTGGATCTTCCATAACTAATGAAACTTCCTCGTTCATTTCAGATGTCCATTCGATGAGTACTGTGACTATTTTCGGTTCAATAAATGTTCGACTACGATCAATAAAAACATTATTGCGTGTGTCAATTGTGAAACCAATCTAATATTAAGATAATTACTAACGATCTTCTCAAATAATAATATTAATTTTTTGACTTACATCAAATTGTTTGATTAATTTTGAAAATATACTGGTACGCGAATTTTGTCTTATAAATACTTCAAAATTATCTTGATCATCAACAATGTAATGAAAAGTGTAACCTAGAAAAGAAGTCATTAAGTGTGTTCATTGTCATTAATTTTCTCACCTTGAAATACACTCAATTCAAAGACACTATGGATCTGTTCGAGTTCAATTGTGTGTATATGTCGATCTTCAATTAATATCGTACGAGCATAAGGTTCAATAACTCTCAAAACTTCGTTTACATGCGTTAGTTTATCTTCTGCATGATACATATTTTGTAAATAGAAAGCACCTATAGAGATCATCAAATGTAGACTGATTGAAGCTATTGATTTACCTACCTTCAGATAGATTCAGACCCGATATTTTTTCATCAATCCAATCAATAATCTTTTCGTCAACTGTTGGATCGAATTTTCGAGCAAAAAATAATAGTTCACCAGCAGCTTCCTAGAAATTTGAATCATTTAAATTTGTAAAATTTATCTAAAATGATTTTTAATTGAATAAATCAAGAACAAACGATTGATTGATAGCTTTTTATGTTGATAGTTCATGGCCAATGTAAAGTTAGGATTGTTATACAGAAAAATCTTTTCAATGTTCTAGTTTATTCCAGTACAAATATAATTGGATTCTTTATATATCACCCAATTCTGCGTGAGTATTGAAAAAACAACACTAACAAATGAGATCGCCTATTCGTCTACCTCACGACTTGTAACATTATTTGAAGATGTGAACGATGAAAAAACTTACACTCATCCTCGAAATAGTATTCCTCATGTTGATACCATATAGGGATCAAGTTGACAACTTTTGTCACATGGGTTTGTAGTGTTTGAAAGCATTATAAAAATATACCAATGAGACGTATATTCATTTGACTAGTTAATATTTGATTTCAAAGATTTGAATTTTAAATAATGATATCTATGTCAAACTTATTGTTGGTTGTATACAAGAAGTAAATATCATAGAATCATTTTTATCGACATTCATTCTACTATCGTTTGTATTCAATTAATACTACTACTTACAGCAAATTTTCTTTTATCAGTTATTCGATAAATCAATGGTGAACAGCCACATAAGTCACTAACATCCATGTTATAACATGTGCAACCACGTCGACGGTCCCAATTCACCATGCGTAAATTCATCCGTACGTGTGAATCACAATAGATACTATTGATTAATACAGTGTGATAGAAGGACTAGAGAAGTAGAAAAAAAAACAAAAGTCTAAGAATTTTATAATTCCTTATTATGACAAACTTCACATGGCATTGCAGTATAATTAAATGCGAATCGTAGGCCACGAATTAATTCATCATCACCATATGCAACATATTGTATGAAATCACGACTCAAAATAAACCAGTCGGAACCGACTTCATAAACAATATCTGAATAGATTCAACTATTCAATGTATCAATTATCATTATATATAAACTATACTTTGTATCAATAATCGGTATCCCAATCGATAGAGAAAATTGTTACAATATACAAATATACCAGTCATTTCGTTTTCATGGAACATTCTTCAACAAAAAGGTATTCTCGAGATAGAATGAGATTAGTTTTTTTTTTTTTAGATTAGCTAAATAATAAATCATCATACTTAGATATATTGGGAATATTTCCACTGACAAAATTTTGATTTGGAAACATTGATAGAAATTCAGATAATACTTCAATAGGTCTATTTTCATAGAATAAAGAATAATAAATATGATTGTAAATATTTTTTCTTATACACACATACTTCGTTGGAAAATCGCTTTCACTCAATGTGATAACGAACGAAAAATTCCATTTGAGATCCTCAATCAGTTGTTTATATACATCCAATTCAGCCGTAAGTAATGTTGTTGCACCCCATGTTGTCCGATAACGATTCTTTGCCATTGCAATATTTGAATAGTGAGCACATAATTTTGACAATTCTCGATACAAATAGTTTTCATTCTATATCGAAATATAAAAGAAATAAATTCAGAAAATTCTTATGCAACAAAGTTCTACTTGCAACTGTGTATATTTTCTAAGAATAGATTTAAACGGGGTATATCATAGATGTTCAGAGCGACTGAAAATTTGTCACTGTCGTGATGGTTTTCGAGAAATTCTTCGAAAATCTCTTCCGCCATCGTGATAAATTAACATAGTCAGATTGAATTCGATAGATGAATAGGAAAGCAGATCTAATGGCGATGCTTTTGCTCTATGTGCTTACTGTACGTTGAATATAAAACTATTTCTTCATTCATTTTCTTTTTTCTTTGAGAAGACTTTACGCATTAAACGCCATTATACGAATCAGTTTTTTCTTTAGGATTCATTTTGTATTCAAATTCTCGAATGTGCACGTCATTTTGAAAAGCAAAATTAAGGTGAACACTTTAAGCACAGGTTGCTCTTTCATCGATATGACTTCGTATCAAGTCAATTGATTGTCTTGTATTTTTAGAAATGAATATGAAAAAGTTCGAATGATTTTTTATTAACTTATTAAGCCATTTTTTATAATTGACTTATTTGAAAGTATGATAATGAGCCGAAAATAATGGATATACACGAAAATTTAATAGTTTTTTTTTTGAATTTGACAGCGGAAGTTTGAACCTTAAAAAATGTTGAACTTGAATCTCTTTATTATCGATTTTTTTACCTATAGATACTTCATAGAGATTAAACAAAGACTCTAAAAAATTTTAAGTTTCTATCAAGATTCGACTAAGCTATCGAATTTTGATCTAAAACGTTGTGCATACCGAGAAGTCAGCTAAATTAATATCCATAAAAATGTTCAGAAGCTTTAAAAAAAATGCATGTTCTTTACACAATCCAAGGAAAATGATCTAGAAAAACTTACATCTCGAAGAAATTTTGTTTAAAACTTCTAAATTTTTTCATGGAAGTTAATCTAAGTGAGTTGTCTATATGCACAAAGTTTCAGATATCGATAGCTTAGGTAAATTTCAATAGAAATCCAAAACTTAGTAGGGTCTTTATGAGAACATTATAAAATATCTATAGGTAAAAAATCATCGAAATCGGAAGAAGAAAATTGTGGAAGCTATCTCGTTAGTTAGATTTCATATTACTTATGTGTAAAAGTTAAAATAGAATAAATATAACATACACTATCGACATGTATCAAATAGTAGTGTTGAATTGAATAAATAGCTCGCATTAATCTTTTTATTTGTCGCAAATTTGTTCGACCAGTGACAATAAAAAAAAAAACTATAGAAACTTGACTAGATGCCGTTTGTTTCTTGAGTCGGTTTCCAGTTGGTGCATAACCAGTATGATAAAGTGTTACCATATCATGAATTGTGTGATTGCCATTATCAAATATCCCATCTAAGCATGTACGATTGATTGCAACGATATTCTTTGCTGATACATTGTTAAATCTCGTCCAACAATTACAATGGCCAGTAATTTCATCGTGTGCTATTTAAAGAAGAAATCTTTTATTTATTTATTTTTTTTTTTGATAAATTATGCTCTACATAGTGCTAATTCGTATACATTATAAATTATAGGTTGATCATAGAAAAAACAGGTAATGTCAAGGAGAGTTGTGTGCACTTTATCTCAATATAAGAACAGTATCGAGTGCCTAAAATAACTATGTATACGTGTTCATCCCATTTTTCACTTTTCAGGTGAATCATTACTAACTGAAACGGTATGGATAAATCATTCCTGAGTTGTAAACAATTTTTTCCATCTATTTAATTCATTACATATGTCTCGAAAATTATCTTTTCTTTTTTACAGTCTGTATATTGGCTGCTAAGTTTTCAAATACAACTTACCAGCATAGGGTGCGGCATATTTCAAGCAATAATCGACACACATGATTGAAGTTGTGGAATTATGTGCTTCGTAACCAGTGATGTTAATCGAAGTTTTCAAAGCACAACCAATTAGTTCACCAAAATAACCATCTACGCAAACTATAATTATCATTCATATTGATCAAAATAATGACATTACTTTTGATTGAACAATATCGAGGTAATGAAGATGGAAAGAAGTTAGGATTCGAGGCTATCTTACATGCGATTTCTTTCAAGTACGCCTTACAATAATCTGTTTGTGCTCTTTTAATTGCATGTTCTGCCAGTTTGCCTAATATACACTGTGATTGAGTGTTGAAAGTCTGAAAATGTACAATACTCATTTCATTTGCTCGTTAAACTATGAAATTCTGCTCTTGAACAAGAATAGAATATATATTTTTTTTAACAGACATTGTGATATATCAATTCCAGTCCATGACACATATATCGAAACAATGATTTAATCATCACAGATGACCATGAACATTTCGAAATGTTATCTTTGTAACTGAATTGCAGATTACGATAAATAGATCGAAATTATCATTTAAGATTAAAGTGGTTGCATCGTGTTTCCGAAGTTTAGTTTCATAGAGATTATACCAAAAAAGTTCTTTATCTCATTTGAAAAAAGATCAGTCATTGATTGTCGAACAACAGATATAAAAAAAGAAGAGACGAAATTAAACGAACATACAAGACGCTATAAGCAACTGTCTTTGTCTACACATCATTTTTACTTCTCATGAATGTTAGCTCGAAGCTGCTTGATTATGAGTCCTATGAAATTCTACTTCGAAATCTGAAGAGAAAAGCTCAACTTTAATTTTTATTCGTTCTATGACTTTTATACAATGCGAAGATTTTTTATTTATATTTCTTGATGAACGTCTCCAATAATAATGTTTACTATACCTCTGAAGAATCATCACATTGTACAGGTATATTGCCAATATTGACCAAAGTCACAAGTATAAGCCACATTGAAATAAGACTATGCCACGTTGATATTTCTTGTTGCCAAATTCTCGTTAAGATACACATCAGCGTAATTTATCTGAAATAAACATGATCAGATATTGATCGATCAGTAAGCCTGGTAAACTATGGAAAGTCAGTTATCATTGCCTTACCAAGTAATTGGTAACGGATTTATTATAGATTATTCATCTCTATAGTGATACAACTAGGTCAATCAAGATGTAGTTTCCGAATCAATCTAATTGCCTTTATCCAGGAAAAGCGTCCCATTTTAGATAGTTACTAAACATATACACCTATACAAATGAAAAGGAAGCAAAGAAAAGAGAGAAAGAAGATCGCCTAATAAAAACTAGTTCAATATCAAACAAAGAAGAAAATTCGTTAGAA